TCTTATCGATCCGTCTGAAACCTACTCAAAACAACAATGGTTACTAGTGCACTCAAGCAGAACTTATGTGCATCATAGTGTGGTGTGTGCTACTTATATGAACGATATAAGTAGTATAAGAAGGGACGTGAAAGAAGTAGTCTCACGGTCAGAAGAGAAAAACGGAAAGCAAATGGAGCAAAAGAAAGAAGTAAATGGAGTATCAACAGGAAGGAAAGGAAGCAACAACAGGAATGGAAGAAGGATGGAGTGTTGGAAGTCACAACTCAAAGATGGTGTGTAAATAGAGTATTCAGTGTAATGTTTTCGTTTTTAACTGACTCAGAGTGTAAATTTACATAATACAATCTTTCTCGCCTACCTCAGTCTTCTCAATAGCTGTAATAAAAGATGTCTCTTTTGAAATGCGACATCTGAATGAACTAGAAAAAATAACAACTGAATAGCAAGATAATTTCTATACAAAAGAACGCAAAATTTGTTAGATTTCCAAATCTCAAATCAGGTAAGTACAAGTCTGATATATGTCGCCATTTTGTAAATCATCTAATTGTAATACACGGTTGTGAAGATTGTTAAGTTACTCAGTGAAATCATGGTTTCAGGTTTCGAATGGTGGTCTAACATTGATCGATTCATGATTTCAATGAGTAAGTTAACAATCTTTACAACCCTATACTGCAATTACCTGTGCTCACGAGTGACTAGCTCCGTGAGGAATCTTCTCCAAGTTCTAGTGAGAAGTCATGACCAGTGAAGTTCAACCTGTTCGGATGTAGACAGTATGAGGTGGCGCAGGACCGTGAATTGATAGAAGTTAGACATTAACAGTGTTAGACACCGGCTCAGTGGTTCAGAGGTTAGGCGTTCGAGTGCAAGATCTAGGGCCCTGGGTTTGAGTCCTGAGTGGTGCAGGAGTCGTCGATGCTCAACGCTGATGAGTCACATACCAGGATGAAATGACCATCCAGTGCTTCCAGATTTCAAATGGTGGTTTAACAAAAATCATCTAACAATCGCATCGACTTGTTTGATAAAATGATCGATAAAAAATACTTCTGCTTAAATAGAACCAAGTTCTGAAGTGATAATCAAAACATCTCCAACCCATAGCTTACTTTCTTACTTACATAAACGTGTTACTCCCAATAGACCATAGGCCGCCGACCAGTTTTCTCCAACCAACTCTATCCTAGGATTCCCTTTCCAGTTCTGTCCAATTTTCGTTCATTCCTGTCATATCTTTCTCTATTTTGCGTAGACAAATCTTAATGACTACATGTATCTTGTGGATGATGGCTTTGATAGTTCTCCAAGTTTCCGCTCCATACAGTAGAACTGTCTTGATGTCGGTGTTGAAAATCCTGATTTCGGTTTGTCAGCTGACCTCCGTTCATGATTTTGCAGTTGAATCCATCATAAGAATTCCGTATGATGTTAAATATTTTCTCAGGCACACCGTAGTGTCGAAGAAGCCTACACAGTGTTTTCCTATCCACGCTATCAAATGCTTTCTCGTAGTCGATGAAGTTGATGTAGAGTGATGAGTTCCATTCAGTTGACTGTTACACAATGATCCGTAATGTAGCAATTTGGTCAGTACACGATCGATCCTTAAGAAATCCGGCCTGTTGAACTTCGAAGTTGGGCATCTACGAAGTCCTTCATTCTGTTTAACAATACCCTGTTGAAAACTTTGCCTGGTATTGAGAGAAGAGTGATGCCTGTGTAGTTCTCACACTTGCTGAGATCGCCTTTCTTTGGTATTTTGATCAGGTATCTTTCTTTTCAATCTGATGGTACTTGTTCCTCATCCCAAATCTTCGTGAAGAGGATGTGAAATATTTATACAGTTGCTTCTACATCTGCTTTCATTGCCTCTGCTGGAATGTTGTCTGGTCCTGCTGATTTGCCGCTCTTGATTTGTCTGATGGCCATACTGATCTCCTCAATTGTAGGTGCGCCAATATTAATTGGGAGGTCCTTGGATGCTGCTTCGATGTTGGGTGTGTTCAGTGGAGCTGGTCAATTCAAGAGTTCCTTAAAGTGCTCTACCCACCCATTTCTCTGTTCTTCAGTGTTGCTGATTACTTTCCCTTCCTTGCTTTTCACTAGTCGTTCTGGTTTCCGATAGTTACCGGCCAGCTTCTTTATTGTATCGTACAACTGTCTCAATTTTCCTTCTCTTGCAGCCTTTTCCGCCGTCATTGCTAGATCTTCCACATATTTTTGCTTGGCAGCTCTGATTCTCCTCTTCACTTTCTTGTTTGCTTCTGTGTATGCAGCTTTGCAATAACTTTCTCTGCTCTTGTTCCGCTGACTCAACAGATAGCTACGAGATTGTAAATATGAATCTTCTGTAATCACATGAGTGTAGTATTTCCATAAACAAACACTTTTTTCAATTCATATCAATGATCATACAATTACTCCTATATTATCCATTCCTTTCTTTTAGCATGGTAATGTATACAGGTCAAGAACTAATGAAATAAATCCTAAGAAGAAAGATTTAATAACCATTGCTACATGTTCAGGAGATCTCCATGAATTTCTATTCATTGTATCTTAAATTCATTACCTGGAAACACACAAAAATACATTCAACTTTTGTAACTATTTAAGCCTGTGCTACATATTTATAGTGTTTATTTGTTGCATCTCTCCACTAAAGTTACTTTTGAACTATATGTTACTAACAATAAATAAGTAGTTTAATTTTTGTTTATTAATTTTTACTCCATCTGGTTTCTTTTGGTTTTTACATAATAGTTACATTATGACATATTTTATGCATGCTCCTACTTCAATGTCCTCATCTATTCTGCTACCATTAATAGTAATGTCATGCCTTCTGTGTTATATTGTCAAACATTTGTCACTTTTTTTGATACTTTATATTGAACGAGTTGTATTTTTTCGTAGATGCTGATTTTTAATTTTTGTAGAGTTGGTTAGTGTTTCTTATTGTACTTTGCATCCGGTTATTTCGAACTCATTTATTTTGCCCAAAGAATGCAATTTTTGTTTAATAATATCATGAGCACAATATCATGTGACTGCTGCAGACTGATAATCTTACTGGTTTATAAGAAAGGACAGCTTCTCATGATAACCATAAAGGAATAAATTTGATCAACGTAGCTTCTGAAATACTGGCCTCTAAAGTAATCGCATGACTAATTCATGTTATAAATCAGCTAAATGGAAAAACTAGTCTGCTTTCGGATCCGGCTATGGATGTATTGAGTATATTTTATTACTTCGTCAGGTTTTAAAACAGATAAAGTTATCAACACCTGAATATAGTACTAGTTCTTGAATTTTGAGTTAGTATTCAACTTCATTGTCTAGAATTCGTAGTTATGTTTGTTACTGCATGATATACCATAAAATTATGAAACCTTTTTCTTTGAATGCTGTTAGTTATCATATACATTTTCCTAGAAGTCATATTTCCTTGATTCAGGTTTTTCAATTTATTTCCTGCCCGGAAATCCTCTTACCTACTTGAAATACACGAACAATACAGCTCAAAATATTATTTCGAAACTGGTCAGCATCGTTGCCTGATATAGCGATAAGTCGTTAGGAGATTGGGAACGTTGATCTCTTCACTTATCTTAGAGGACACATCAGGTGTGGTAGGTTGGTGAGTGCAGAAATCATCACACGTATTCTAGAAGTTCGATTGACTTTTTTTCAAATGAACAATTGTCTTGTGTATTTGGAATATCTGACTTACAACCAAAAACCAAGAATACTAATGTATGATCTTTAAAAGTAGGAAACATGAACAGGTTGTTAAAATATTATCTGTTAAGTTTTTGAAGCACTGATCTCGTATCAAGGAACAATCGAACAATTATTATACAGGCCTAGAATTGGAGATAACAACCGTATTTTCAACTGCTACTCACTAAGACGGTAGTGTAAGGATGAGTTTAAGAAAGTTAGGAATAGTCACAGCAAGACGTGTTATTAGTTCATAAGATTAATGACCAGTGGTCTAAACCAAATTGGTTGATATAGACTACCTGGTTGAGGTTTATATGATAACTTCATTAGTTGGAGATGTTGGATCACAAGGCTGAGAATTATTCACAGTGACTCAGGTGTATTCACTCTAGGTTTTACCCTAAATCTTGAATTCCAATAATCATCTATGCATACATACATTTTAATTTTGTCCTGTCGAAGCATATTCTCAATGTTGTTCCGTTCTCGCTATTATTTTGACTACGATATTTAGACTTCATGTTTATTCGTTACATTGTGCTAGTATGTTATGACAACTTAAGCTAAAGTACATCTTTCCTAGAGTTCTACGTTGGCTTTAACTAACTAACCTACTGACCACATGATTATTGATTTTTAGACAATAGTTTCCTCAGATTTTCCCGCACAAGAATCCTTTACAAATTTTATCATATAATCTTGGGCTATTTATACACGTAACCTGTCTCATTATATTTAAAGCTTTGTGTATGTGCTACTTACAGCGGTGCTTCTAAGTAATATGCAGTGAAAGTGGAGCAGAGTGCCAAACAGAGAAGTATTGGATACAGAGTTGTGGAGCGATCTGAAGAATAGAAGACATTTGGAAGCATACAGTGTAATAAAATATACACTTTTCAGCTAGTGGATTGTATTTCCTTCTCACTCTTCACTTTTAACCCTCAACTCAACTTCCACCCTAGGTTCATTAATCAATCAGCTTGAAAAAACAATGAACACTATTGTACACAGAATTAATCAGTAAAAAAAAATAAATTGCTTTTGAAAGAACCGCAGTTTATTTTCAATATTCAATAACTAAAAGATATTTTCATTAATTTTTTTTGCCTCTAATCTTTTGCATTTTGCATCACAATAAATAATTAGTAATAATAATAAGCTAGAATAAAAAATATCATGCAAAAAACAATACAATCATGTATCTCTATCTTGTAAAATAATAATAATAATAATAATATTAGTAATAAATACAATATTATAATCTCTACATTGTTTTAAATGATATTTTGAATCAATGTCTATACATATACAATATGCAATTTAATTAGAGGAAGAACTAAATATGTTTGTTTATGCTGAAACAAGTGAATCACTGAAACAGAACTGTTCACAGCTTTCTTGATTAAATTTAGTAAGAAATTTTAATTGAAGATTATATGTATATATGACAAATCTAAGAGTTAACTTCAAGTTTAACAGGTAAATGTTTGAAACTTTCATTTGAGACCTATTGTCGATGTTAAGAATACCTACCCTAAACGATTATTCATTGAATAATATACTGTGTTATGTTGAATAATTTGAATTTTCCTTAATTTATTGACTGAATAAACAGACAGGTGTATTGATTTATACAATTTGATTGATTAGATAAGTAGTATTGGATGATTTACCATTGTCCTGATTGATTTGTTCAAAAAAGGCACTTGTACTCATTGTATGATTGACTATAGATTCTTCATTACGACGAAATCGTTCTAATTCATCACGTCGTTTTAAAACTTTCTCACGTCTCATATGTTCTTTGTAAAAATCAGCAAAATTATTAACAATAATAGGGATTGGCAATGCTACAACTAATACACCACAAATACAACAACATGCACCAATCAATTTGCCCAGTACTGTCCTAGGCAACATATCTCCATAACCAACTGTTGTCATTGTAATAGTAGCCCACCAAAATGCTGATGGTATACTACGAAACATTTCGGAATTTTCATCTTTTTCAGCAAAATATACCAAACTAGAAAATAATACTACTCCTAATGCAATCAATAGCATAAGTAAACCAAGTTCTTTATAAGATCGTTTAAATGTATACCCGAGTGCTTGTAGACCAGTTGAATGTCTGGCAAGTTTAAATATACGTAAAATACGCAGAATACGAAAGATTTGTACAATTTTCCGCAATGAATGTAATGATTCATTATGATGTCGTGTAACAACTTCCACTAACAGTACATGTATGTAGAAAGGTAAAATGGCAATTAAATCGATAATGTTGAGAATTCGCTTGAGAAATTTCCATTTATTTGGTGAACACCATAAACGTAGTACATATTCTAATGTAAACCAAGAGATGCATATTGTTTCAACAATATCTAAGTATGGATTATCTGTTAATTCATTTGATGAGTGATGTGTTGTGGTAGTATGATTGTCTAGATTTGTATCAGTGAATAATTCCTGCTCGATAAATTTGAGCACGGTAGTATTCAATTGTATTTCAGGCATTGTATTCAATGTTAAACTGATTGTAGATAAGAGGATAAAAAATATTGAGACGATTGCGAATACCTGCATGAAATGGAATTTAATGGAAACAATTAAGCAGAATTAGGTGTTTAATAAATTTTAACTTCAATACAAAGAGGGAAATAGTTCGATTTTACGGTTAACTACATGGACTGATCTTAGAAAACTACTTAAAACTAGAAAGTAGTAGATAGTTCGATTCTGCTATGATGGGATATTTTCTGCAATGCAAATTTAGGAATAGAACCCATGGCCTTCAGGTTTTAGGTTCAACTTTGTCACTATTGACTAATTTTGAGAGATAATTCTTGGAATTCTTGTGAAGAATCATGTCAAGTGAACTTCATATATGTTGAATATGAGCCAATTACCAACTGATAACGCTGAAAGTTCGCTATCGAATTATGAGGATCGAATAAGGTTAGACTAATACATTACTGTATACTGGCTCACTCGTGTAAAAATTAACAGCTCGCCACAAAACCTGATGATTCTGTGTCAATGAATGTAATTAATTTATTAATGTGAATAAAAAGCTTATCACACAAATGATATTGAGACATGAATAGCACAGTCAGGAGAGCGTTAGACTGATATTGAGACATGAAGTATGAATACACAGATCTATCTTAAACAATACAATAATGATAAGAAAAGTAGGAAAACATTGGTGTAAACATTGACACTTAAACTGTGATATTCATTATAGTGTTATGGAGATTGCTGTTTTCCACTGAGGTCATGAATCATTCATTGTTAGACCGCCATTAGAAAACTGGAAGCATTGGACGGCCGTTCCGTCCTAGTATCGGACTATTCAACAGTGCACATTCACGAATCCTGCTCGAGGGAACCAAACCCTGAACATTCAATCTCCCTCCCCTAGATCTTTGAAACGGCATTCAACTGTGTTTATGTCCAACTTTGATCGATCCAAGGATTTCGCGCAACCTCACCCATTGTCCTAGGTAGTTTCTGTCTACACTCGACAGGGTTGAACTCCACTGGTCAAAGCTTCTCACTAGAACTCCAAGAATTTCCTCACTGATGAGGAAACTGTATGATATTCACGATAATGTTATGTAAATTTCTGTTTTTCTTTGAAATTTTGCTTTCCAGAGCTTTCAGGTTTCTAATACTGATCTAACAATGACTTATTCGTAATTTCAATGGTTAGATTGTGGTGAAAATAACTTCTGTGATAATGAGTACAAGTTAAAAAGAAATACTTTTAATTCTGAGTTTTAAATAACTGATATCATCGATTTTGAGTGTCTAAGATAAATAGGTTTACACCGGTAGACCTGTCATATGTCAGAGAAAGTGTTGATTGGACAAAAATATTATGAATAGGATTTGTCCCAAAAATATCCAAGCTAGACATATATATTACGATTCATAATGTATACAACGACATGTACATTTATTTTATGCATATCAATAATCATTTGAGTTTCATAGAGAGACAATGAATGAAAGGCAGTACAATGTGAGCTCCTCATCTGGTGTTAGCAAGACATAGATTGAATTAAAGCATGATTACGTTGCTACAAGCTGATTGGCTCTTTCCAACCCAATCAGAGCTGGTCAACACTGAGGGAACATTCTAGAATCCTCTCACGTAAAAACTATAAATATACTAACATCTTTTCTTTTTGATCTCCTGACTTTCATCTAACCTTGTAATTGGAATATATTCTCTTTTCCTGTTCAATCGTGTTCTGATTTTAAGAGAACATCTTGAGTGCATTGGTGTCCGAGAATACTAAGCATTAGGAATAGCTTGGTTGTAATTATTAGAGAGAATTATAACATCTAGTTTTCCTTCTTACAACCCAAATCATAGTTTTACATAAGATCAAACTATTTTTCTGTCGAGATGGCTTATTTATTCATTCGTCATGATTCAATGCTCTATAAGATAAGCCTTTTATTCATCAGGATTAATCGAATTGTATTAAAATTAATTATCTGTCAAAATATAGAGCGCCTAATTGAAAGCGTAATTAATTGAATTGGATCATTACCTTTTTTTTAGTAGACATAAGCAAAACATGTATGCTGTCATGTTAATAAATTGAGATCAGAATTTTATTGAATCATGTGTATAGGTCATGTGATCGGTAATGAAAAAAGATTGGTAATCGTTCTGAAATTCAGACAACTAAACTCACAATGTTTGACATGGTTTAGTTCGAATTTTTTTTCCAGCTCAATGGTTTAATCGTCGTAACGCTTTCTTTGTCTTTTTAGGCATGATAAATATAAAATTCAAGAATAACTAGGCGAATTGTCGATGCTAATCAAGGTCCAGAGGAACATTGAACGCTTATTGAGGTTAGGCATTCGCGCGCAAGACCGAACGTCCTGGATTCGAATCCTGTGAGGTAAAGGAGTCGTGGATGCGCACCGCTGATGAGTCCCATACTAAGACGAAACGACCGTCCAGTGCTTCCAGGTTTCTAAAAGTGGTCTAACAATGATTGACGGATGATTTCATTGTTCAACAAACACTCATCTCCATAACTCTAATTAGAAAGATCTCATTTCTGTCAGATAAAAAGTTACGTAATTATTTAGTATACCAAATCACCACAGAATCATTTGAAGTTGGTATTTTTGGAAGATTGAATGTTTTTTGTTGTCCAGATGATTCTGACAAAGCCGAGATAGGATCAAATGCTGAATGTATATTCCACTGCTACTTACGACTCATCTTTCCTATCAACAATTTTCTTTAAACACCAAAACTTTCTTTTAATCACAGTTCAATCATAGTTTGAAACTGATTTCTAACGAAATCAGCTTTTGATCTCCTAATAGGACGTTTAAAACTAAAGTTTACTGCTGATAGCAAAAAGATATTTTAAATATTTCCGTCTTCTTATACTGATTGAATTTGAATTAAACAGCTTACGGAGAAAAGTACAAATGGATGAGTTGAAAACTCTTGACTTAATGAAAACGACGTTTTGGACAAAAAACGTATTCATTATTTGATTCGGAGGCTGCTCATCAGCTACCAAAGTTATAATATCATCTCCTTTATGTACATCCATCTCAATCAAATTTAAGCACATGTATATTATTTCGGTCTCTCTATTATACTCCGCAGACAGAGATGTTGACTTTGAGCTCACTAAGTCATGACTAACTTCTTGTAGGACTAAGACCATTTAGAGCCACTTGATTAGCAGTTGTTGACTAAATCTTTAGTACTGACCGAATTCTATCGATCAAGTTGTGATACGTTCACTAATCTATTTGATTGGGTATCATGTGTAACCTATTTTGGTGTCAGGTTGTTGACCGTCATTAGTTAGAAACACTGGATACAGGTCCCATATGTGTTGATAACTATCAGCCAGGGTACCTAGATTCTTGAGGTGGTGATGTTTTCTGTAAGCTTTGGACATATGTCACACAGTTCCACAATCTGATCTGCGTTTAATTCACCTCTAATGACCACAGGTATCTAAAACCATATCTGATAAAAACAGGATTAAACACGGATTCGATGAAATCTTATTTGGAGATTAATTTTTTTTCTCAAAACTCTGACTTAACTTATTTTTATTAAACTTATTTCAGAACAACCAGAAAAAAAAACTTGAGATAATAAATAAATGAAAAAATGTAAACTGATACGAATTTAAAAAATCGAAAGATATATATTTTTTTAAACTAATTAACTGATAATTTAATTTCATTTCAAACAGTAAAACAAAACAAATCTATTGAAACAGTATGTAGTTTTTCATTGTTCCAAATCTTTGTAAGTTTAATCAAAGCACAAATATATTATAGTTCCCAAAATAGCTTATTACATTAAGATATATAGATGTATATATATATTTCAAGAAGTTACAAGTAGGGGTATTATTAGGTTGGTAGTTTAATTATGAATCTTGTATGAAGAAATGAGCAAATCTCAAGTAAAATCAAGTTCTTTATTCATTTATGCGATTAAAGATAATTTATTAATTATTTTGAAAATCAGAAAAAGACATTTTTCTGTTGTGACTTTAATGTTGTTTTTAAGTGAAACGTTTCTGAGGTTTGTCGAATGATGCATGTCATCTCAATAGTCTAATGGTTAGGTGGTTACTCGGAGAACTGAAGGTTCTGTATTTGATCCTTGTTGATGAAGCCGTGGTTGTGTACTACCACTGTTCCATTCCATACTAGAATGAATCAACTATCCTGAATTTATCATGGATATATAACTAAGGTTAGACCATAGTGTACACTGTAGAATTCGATAACCTTGCCCAACATCCTGATGAAAACCTATATCCAGTGAAATTCAATTAATTCCAGCGCAATTCATCCACTTCTCATTACCATTGGTAGACGGATGCGCACAATCACGAATTGATTGAAGTTGTACATGTAAACCATTGGAGGTGCTGAGTTAAATCATTGTTTCCTTCATGGTGTTGTGTTGGGGGACGTTAGATCCCCAGAACTCATTCGGAAAAGGTCCTAATTTTGTAATTTCTTTCTCAAAATTTTGAATTTTTATGTTTTCTGGACAAGAGACGCTTAGTTGACTTACAGTTTGCATTTCCTACTCAAGAAATCCTTGACTATCATTGGTCGAAGGATTATTTTAGTACTCTGTTTTGTGAATTTCTTACAGGCGTTTCTATCATTGTATAAAGAAGCTTGATTTGTGAGCTTAGCAACCTCGAATTTTCTGGGTGTTTGTAGAATACATTCTCTGCGCCTTATCAAGACTTCTTGCTTTAGTCAGCAGGGCCATGAACAGTCGGATTAAAATGGCATATCGTGTCACTGAGTCATCGCTCTACGTTCCATTTTTTGAGTAAAGTGAACTCGTAATAGTTTCGAACATATCATGTGAATAGGTTAGTTGTTTGCTGATATTAAACAGTTATCCTATTATTCCTAATTCTCAACAGTTTTACAATTAAAAGTGGTTCGTTCATGAAGTCAACTATCATTTTATTACTTTTGAAATAACCAATTCACAACAACATTTCACATGAAAGAACCTATTTGTCAATGGTTATACATTT